TGAGGTATGCCCATATCTTATTTGTATGCAACCTACCAATTCATTTTTGTAAATCTGATAGAGAGGGATACTAAGTTCTAATAAGCATTTAATTATATAAACGAAGTACAATTTAATACTTCATGATTGTTTCTCCTTGTTGATACCCTTAACTTCTCTCACATATAAATTAATTCTTTGATAGTATTAATATGTTGAGTTAAAGAAACTTATATAACATTGAGTTGTAGAGGAAACATAATTTGTATAACATTGAGTAGTAGAGAAAGTAAAATTTTGTCTGTCATTGATTTGATATTTATTGGTCTTAATTTATTATACTCAGTTTTTCCTAATTTCAGACTTACCTGATTCATAAGCAGCACACAATCTATTATTTAAAGTTTAACATTGGTGTTTTGCTTTCAAATTTGCAACATTGTTATGGTACCCTTGAGTCATAGGGATAAAATATTTATTATATATTCTAAAATGTTTGTGATGTATTCTAAACCATTTATTTCATTTATTTGGTTCATTTCATTCTCTTAATAAATTTCCTATGAACAAAACATAGGAATATAGCTTTTGGTAGGAATACTTAAATGGTAATAAAATTCATAGTTGAAATATAATAATCTCTGTCATTTATAATTTTTATATGTATGTGACTTTCATGTTTTTGAATAATTTTTAATATCTTTAATGCTTATTTATTATATGGCCATAGATAAAAATTGTTAATATTTTACTCAAAACCATTGAATTAAATTCTGAATGCCAGACTGGGCACGGTAGCTCATGCCTGTAATCCCAGCACTTTGGGAGGCCGAGGCGGCAGATCACAAGGTCAGGAGTTTGAGACCAGTCTGTCTAACATAGTGAAACCCTGTGTCTACTAAAAATACAAAAAATTAGCCTGGTGTGGTGGTATGCGCCTGTATTCCCAGCTACTCGGGAGGCTGAGGCAGGAAAATTGTGTGAACCCGGGAGGCGGAGGTTGTAGTGAGCCGAGATTGCACCATTGCACTTTAGCCCAGGTGACAGTGTGAGACTCCCTCTCAAAAAAAAAAAAAAAAAAAAATTCTGAATGCCTTTTCCTTTTCCTTTTATTCTTCCTATAGTGATGAACAAAGAACAAATATAATAATATAATTTCAGGATGGTATAGTCCCATTAACATAAGTTACATTTGGAAGAAATATTAAGCTGTCAAGATTTCTATCATAAGTATAACCATTTGAGCATTTTTAATGTAATAGAATAAAAGATGAAATGTTTAGATTTTTTTTCTGATCACTAATCTAGCTATGCTATCTTAAATATCCTTGAACCACTGGGTAGCAGAGCACTTACTGCTATTTTAGATATACATTGTAATGTTGCCAATCTATTTGTGTTATTATATGTCTGACCAACTTAAAACTTTAATAACATACCCACGTAAAACATTCTTCCTCCACTGCCTGCTAAGATTTGTGGCTAGGGGATTAGTATAATAAAAGTTGTTTCTTCTTCCTACTATTTAATATATTCCGTGAATACTACAATCCTAAAATGGCCTTGTTTGTCCCCTTGCATTTATAAGGACTTGGAACACCTGGGCTTGTAGTATGGCAAAGCAGTGTCTCTTAGATCACTTCTAAGTAAAGCTTATGGAAGTTCTTTATCTCAGGTTACTGCTGGCTCCTTTTAGAATATGGGCAACTGAATCTTCTTAGTCCTCAGTTTGGAAGCCTCGTTGTTGATTGAGGAAAAGCCCACTCAACATACAGATCCATTAGAATATTTTACCGGTTTTTTTTTTTTTCTATGAGGAATAGTTTGATCTTGAAAAATCTGTAAGTCACTACTTATAAATGATAAGGTAACCTATAAGTTCCTCTTAACATCTGCTAAGAACGTATTAGGCCTTTGCATCGACATTTTCACAAAATTCTTAAATACACTCCAGTAAAATTGTTTTAGTCATACAACCTGTAATGGTATTTTATTTAAATGGATTATCATTGGTAAAACATAATAAAAATTATTCAGCTATAGAAACTAGTTCTGGGGATCTGCTTTTTCAAATTAAAAAAAAAGAAAGAATCAACAGCATGATGACATTACCATCAATTTAATTTGGATTTGGTGGAGAGAAACTATAAAACTAGATCATCTAGACCGGTAGAATATTTGACAAAAATTATGGAGGGTACTGACGTATTATAGGTTACCTTTAGTGATCTTTAGATTTTAAATCATTGAATATTATTGTCTCATTTTGGGGATAAAATAAATGCTTTGTTAATTATTGCACAAATAAGCCACTGCAAAAAAAAAATTCTGAAATATTGTGCCTTAAACTCTGCTTTATGAGAGTCTAGTAGTAGGTAGTCTAAACCTAATATTTCAGCTCCACATAAATAAACAACTTCCATTTTGATGCCTAAGGCTCTGCATCACTTTCTCCTACTAAAAGGACAGCAGCAAATGGTAAAGAGGAGACCAATTCCCATCCTTTAATTGACAAGACCCAGAAATGTCACAATTCACTTGTGGCCACATCCCTGTGAACACTACTTCTACACATAACTATAGCAAACTGTAAGTGAAGCTGGAGTTGCTGTTATCTTTGTTATTAAATGGAGCAACTGAATGGTCCCCACCAATTGATAAAAACTGCTGAATTGCACCCTGAAATCTCTACTTTTTCATATTTCATCTTAAAAGCAAAACATACGCGGCCTCACCAGTTATATTGCAAACTTTGTATTTTAATTTTTACAAACGTTTTTATAGTACAGAGATAGAGAACAAAACACAGGGACAGGGGAAAGAAATGGGGAGATGTAGATCAGAGGAAAACAAAGTAGCAGATATATAGGATGAACAAGTCTAGAGACATAATGTACATGAGGGCTATAAGTAATAAAATTGCATTGTGTATGGGATTCATGCTAAATGAGTAGATTTTGGCTGCCTTGCTACAAAAACAAACAAACAAAAAGTTGGTAACTATGTGAGATGGTGGATACATTAATTTGCTTCAATATAGTAACAGTTTTACTGTCTACATGTATCCCATAGCATCATGCTGTGTCTCCAAAATACACATAATGAAATTTAGTTAAAATACATACAAAGCTTAATCCATTTCCTGGAGCATTTTTGCATGGATGCCTATGTGTCAACCTCTGTAACTTTCTTTTCTTGACCTTGTACTATATGAATTAAGGTAGAGTTATTCGAATCATGAACAGTACATCACAGATGGAATATACTGATGCAATGGGAATGCATATAGTATAATAAATATCACATATTATGTTTTATAAATTTTTGATAGTAATGTAAGTACAGGATTTTTCTTTCTAGGCCTGTTTTACAGCTGTTAAATACCATCAATTCTTACAAATTCTTCTCTCTTTATCTTTCACACATCCATGGCATTATTTAAATATCTCTTGGATTTCCATTTCTTGGCTTAAAACTCTCTTTGAATGTCCTCGTCCAGTACTGACCAATAGAACTTTCTGTGATGATGGACATATCCATTATGGTAGCTACTATGTGAAGGTTTTGAGTACTTGTGTTGTGACTGATGTAACTGAGGAACTGAATTTTAAACTTAATTTCATTTAATGAATTTAAATGTAAATAGCCAGACATGACTAGTGATCACCCCCTTGGACATACAGTTCTAGTCACTCTCCACTCCGTTTACCAACTTATTTCAGCCACATCTATTTTACTGCATCATATTACTCCTGAAATATCCTTCAATAAATTTACTTACTCAACATGTATGTATTTGGGGTTTTATTCTCTGGGTGAGAAATTTTGTATTTTAGGTGTGATTTTATCCTAGCTTTGAGTAGTCTAATAATAATATACATATATAATATTTGTTGAACACATTTTGTGTTAGACACGGTTCTGAGCATTTTATTCATAATATATTGTTTCATTATCACAAGAAACTAGCATTATAATTATCACCATCTTATATATGTATAAAAGGACACAACCATAAGTTAATCAATTTTTGTCTAAGATCAAATAGGTAGCTAGTAAGTGGATGAGCTAGGATGTAAACCTCACGCAAACTGGCTTCAAATACCATTCTTTATTATTTCATCATTCTGGAGAGTAAGTTTTCATCAGTGGTTCTCCTTATTCAAAATACATCACAGTTGGAGCCTTTCTAGAAGCTTTATTTGTGTATGCATAATATAGGAAACTATCTTGCCTCTGACAAGAGAGAAGAGAAAGGAACCGTTTCTCTTCTTTCTTTTTCTTATCACAATTCTCTAAGCAAATACAATGTTTATAAAAATTGATCCAAACCATTCCTTATCTTCACTGAGTATTAGTACCTTATTTTATCCAAATGATATTAAATAAATTAGTAAACATAAGTGAAAATAAGCAGGCGCTGTATGTTTGTTCCTGTTACTACAAATGATTATTCAGGTTTATCTTACTCAGAACACAAACAGAAAGAGTTATAAAGTACTCAAGATAGATTATTTTCTAAAGGCTATAACGTTAAGATTTAACGCAGGTCAATCATCTCCAAGTTAAAATTACTTAGAAGCGTACTGTCCATAATTAAGTAATCTTACCTACTAATATTACGGAATAAGAATACCTTTAGGTGACATGAAATCTGTCATTTTAAGCATGCCCCCAAGCCTTTTCAAGATTGCTCATAAAATTTCTCATTCTCTAGAGAAATGTGATCTCTAAGAAATAAATGTCTCTTTCAAGTCACAAGTAATATGAGCACATGAAAAAAATGGAATTTTGAGTCTTAGAAGGGATATTGCAGTATTATAAAATTGCTTTTATTTCTTGTTATTTAAGTTCTCATGGTCATTTTAGGATTTACCTTCTAGATATAAAGGATTATGATTTCTTTTAGGGAGGTGGGGGACAGAAGCCTTTGGGGACCAGGAGAATATTTTTCATATGAAATTCTTTGTCATAAAATGCTAATGTTGGTGTTCTTGTCTTTATGTCTATGCATTCTTTAGCTATGAGGATAACAGACCCTTCATCAAGTAAGAATGACCTGAATGGCTGATAAATTCCATTTATCAGTGTGGTCCCATGAACCAGCTGTCAGATCAGTACTGAAAAATCATTAGAGCCTCTGTCATTCACATTGAGGCAGAAGAGCAAACTGTGCAGGAAAATAATCTGGCATACAACTTACATGCAGAATAAATACGCTGCAGGTGTATTGCCAAAAAAAAAAATTCTGCTTCACCTCTGTTAATTGGATATCACCTGAATCTAGTGCCACAGCAATAGCAATTTCCTGTGGTACAGACTTGTTTCTCTTTTAATAGCTTCCCTCTCATTGTGATGTGTTCCTCTGTGCCACATACGTCCGCTTTTCTGTTGTTTGTTTGGGCATCATTCATCTAAAATTATTCTGTCATTTACTGGTATATCTTCAAAATGATCTTACGTGTATAAAACTACCCAATTGCAATTGATATTAATGAATTGCTATACTAAATATAAATAAAGAAAAAAATGCCTTCCTAAAAATTAACTTTTACATACGCAAAATTATCCCTTTCAAATTTGACACCTATCACTTGATTAATGATCTAATCTGTATGAATATATTTCAGTTTCTGAAATAAAGCTACAAGTCTGTACTAATCTAACAAATGTGAACATAAATGTTAACATTTGGACATTTTTCCCATGTATATTTTAAAATTACAAGTCCTGCAAGAATAAACTAAGATTGGTAACCTATGGGCAATCTTGCTGTAGACTTTCAGTTTGTTCTTCTGGTGAAGAGTCCTTTGTTTTCATTTTTTTCTAGTGCCATTTCGCTTCTTCATGCTTTTGCTTTCATTCATTCTTTTTTTCTTTCTTTCTTTTTTTTTTTTTTTTTAAAGAAATTGGGGCTCATTGCAGTTTTCTACAACTTAACCCTTGGGCCCATCATGTGTTTTCCAGTGGTTAATACCTGACTTCAGTATTTGATCCCATTATTTTGCTTCTAAATCTAAATAGCAATATTGCCTTGATTTAATGGCAATTCTTATTTTTTCTTTTTTGAACATCCATAAGAAGCTGAGAGCTTTTCCTTGAAAGTTAATATACTTCTGAATCCCGCTGTAGAATAAAATATTAACACCTAAAATGTTTTCTAAATGATATAAGGAAACATGTAACATGTAATAGCAAAACTCCTTTAGAGATTCTTTATTCAAGAATGTTGATGCTTTCAGTTAAACGTGTTAAATTTAGTGGGCATTTAAACATGAAATATAGTGGCTGATTGTTATGGGAGAAAAATAGTAAATATTTATAATTAATTTTAATAAGACTTTAATAATTAACTACTTTGGAACCATATCTTTCTTAAGATGCAGTTCTCTCTAAAAAACAAATTGAACTCAGCTTCAGATTATCATAAACATATATGATCTTTCCCCTTCATTTTACAAAGTCTCAATCCCTGTAAATATATCTTCCAGAGACATTATAGTGGAGGATAATAATCTGCTGGAAAGAAATATGAATTCACCCTTTTCAAGGAAGATGTGCTGGGAATAAAGAGGTTGGGCTTTTTAGTGTATAGAGATCTCTACTGATTTGGTCCTGTTCTCCCATATACTTAGGAGTTGAGAATGATTTCATTTCAGTTATGAGTCCCACCTGTTGCAAGAATTCATTTTATCTTGATATTCAATACATAACTTAACCACAAATATATGAACTTTGTTACCTGCTTATACTCTTGCAAATGACATCTTGGAGGAAACTAAGAGAATGGAATGGGAGTGAGAGCTTGTCTTTCATTCTATACCACTCCGTTCATACCACTCCATCTTCATTCTCAGCTTCATCTTCTCCCTTGAGTTTACAGACACTTCAAAGAAATGAAGTTTCTCTGAGCCTTCAAAAATTTTTTCAGCAAAGCTGCCAAATGACTGATTTCTAAAATCTACTATAATGTAGCATAGAAGAGAGTGATCCAAAGGCTGAAGGAGAGTAGAAACAGAGTGTTTCCATTAGAGTGGAACTATTTTTTTCCATCTACTATCCCTCATTCTTAGTCTTTATAAATATAGGTTAGACAAGTAGGGCTCATTAAATTCATACATTAACTTCAAATCCATGTATTTCCTCCTAATACGAGTTATATTTTTGTCAGTAAACAATAAAATTTTTGTGGAAAAAGAGGAAATTTTGAAAAAATGAGGTACAAATGTATCAGAAGAAGCACTAATAGAGGGAAATCAATCAAACAAATGTTACCCCTGTGAGACCAGTGAAGACTAACATAGCTTTATAGCCTGCTTTCCTCTTGCCATTCACCATAATTACACCTCATGCCATTTGCGTATGTGCTGCAAATACATGAATAATTTATGGTACAAATCTGCTTTTGCTTAAATGAATTTCTGTGTTCATTACATTTTCATTCATGTATATCTCCTCAAGCTTGAAAACTTGTAGTCTCATTAAAACCTTAAAGTACTTACACCACCTGTCTTACATTTTCTGTCAATAAAAGTTAATGTAACATTTTTTTTCAGTGTCGTATTGTTGATCTGATATGGTTGTTAATTAAATACCAATTATTTAATAACCCTTAATTTTCTCTTCTCTCTACAGGTCATGGGTTATAGGTGCAATAGCTCTTCTCTGCCTATTAGGATTGACCTGGGCCTTTGGACTCATGTATATTAATGAAAGCACAGTCATCATGGCGTATCTCTTCACCATTTTCAATTCTCTACAGGGAATGTTTATATTTATTTTCCATTGTGTCCTACAGAAGAAGGTAAGCTAGAATTCTTTTTTTAAAATATAAATGGCATACATTTCATGACAGCAAAGCAGCCATAACATATTCTAACATATTATTATTGATATGTTTGTCTACAAGAAATGAAGATACTCATCTTTTATAATAGTAAAGCAAAACAAACACAAAATACAAGCATAATAGTTGGTGAGAGTGTCCAATAGTAAAAAACAATAAAAACATTTTCAGATTTAAAATATTAACAAAAATTATTTTCTTGTAGATTTGACTTTATAGTCTTTAATATTCCCATTGATGGCCAATTGTAGTTGTGTATTAGGAAGTAATTATTTTCTAAAAATGTTGTGGAGGCATGAGATACACGCACACACACACATCATGGAAATATATCACAGTATAGGAAATATACATATGTGGGTTTGAATCTCTGTTCTTCTATTTAAAAACTTATGTGACTTTTGGCAAGTTAATTAACCTCCCCATGTCTCAGTTTACTCATGTGTGACATGAAGGGGGTAAAAATAATTATAAAATATTCAAAGAGATGACTCTGAAAATGAGGTAGAACATTATGTTTTAAGATTTGTGGGAAAGAAACAATAAATTTATAATTTTTCTTTGGAAAACAAAGGAAATAAGAAGTAAAGATATCCCTTTCTAGGATTTTTAGTTTTAGAGACTGGTGGGACCAAAACAAGAAGTTGAAAAGAGTGTCCACTTGTCACAAGATGGACAAACATAAAACAAAACACTACTCTGTTTCAAATTTAGAAGGTAGTAGATATCTAAAATGTGTTGACACGATCACAAATACAGAATAGAGTAGTAATGATGAGGCAGGCTTCTAAATGTATGTTACAGAAAAGGAAAGAGGTAACATTAGAATGGATGCATTCTAATCTAATTCATTAGAATTCTCCTTAAAAAGAGGTTGTTTTAAAATAGATGAATCCTGCTATAACAGGATGTTTTAGAAAAAATAAAAATAAAATAAAATAGATGAACCCTCCCAAATAATTAATATGTATACCTCCCAAATTACAGAAGCCTTACTCAACATATGTTTATGTTTACTCATTGCCCAATGGATGGGGTTGCCCCATGAAGGGACATAGGCTGATGAAGATTCAAACAACCTCACTCTATGATTTTATAGTCCTCTTTGGTTTTGACATCCAACAGGAAGTCTGGGAGAGAGAGAGATGATTTTGTACTAAAGATTTGAAAGTGGCTCACATGGCTTCTACTAATGTTTTTTTTTTTTTTTTTAATCAGATAGGACTCTGTCGATGGTACCACCTAAACTGCAAGGGAGACAGAAAAACATAGTATAGCTTTTTTAGTTAGAAAGAGAAGAAATTGGGTATGGTGAATAGATGGCAGTCTGCCACACTTAATGTATTTAAAGAATAGGAGACATGTAAGTGGCTAGTGAGAATAGAGCTGGAAGGAAGAACAAGAATCAAGATGATACACTGAATTAAAGATAGGAGAAAATGTCAAGAAGAAGATAGTGGTTGGTATTCTAAAAGACTTTAGAGAAGTCAGAGAGACTAAAACTTGGGAAAGATGTTTAGATTTGGATAGAAGAAAGCCATAGCCATAACTGATGCTCAAGAGAAATACATACAGAAAATGTGAACAAAATCAGGAGATTAAGGGAAAACATAGCGTTTGCCCGTGAAAAAATGGGAATGTATTAGGTCATTATAATCAGTCATAACATATTGAAGTATAGTAGATTTATTTGCCTGTCATCTTTATTTTGTACATTAGCTGGAAATTTGGACCAACATAGTTTTAAATTTTTATTTAATTTTTTTTTACTAACTCATTAAGAAGTAATTTTTAAATTTTAAAGTTAATTTGGAAACTTTCTACAAGGCAGAAAAGAAATTTTTGTACTTTACACACAGATTATTTTGCTTTGAGTATTTTTTATTAGCCAACACCTCTTTCAGTTTTCCCAACATTAATAAAAATGTTATTTTAGTTTTTCTTGTCTTAACATAAACATATCACTGGAATAATTAAGAATTACATTTGATACCCAGGTAGAGATTTTACATCTCACAACCCTAAAACAACTTTAGAGTTTTTAATATATTTAACATAAGTTAAATTTTAAAATATATATGTCATCAAGTTCAGTTTTGTGATTCATTAAAACAGAGTTCTAGAAACTGTGGCTCATGAGCCAAATTCATCCAGCTGCCTTTTATTTTTACAGCCAGGAAGCCAGGAATGGTTACTACATTTTCAATACATAAAGTTTAAAAAAAGTATATACACCATATCCTTAGTTTTGGCTCCTGACTCAAAAACCTTAAAATATTGACTACCTGGACCTTATAGAAAAACTTGCCAGGCCCTGATTTTGAAAGTTTATTTTCATGATTTACAATAACAAGTAATACATATTGTTCTTTCATCCATTCCATGTTTTGAATTTTAAAACTTTGGTTGCATTTGTATTTGGTGTCAAGAATATGGGCCAACATCAGAAAATACAGAAAACATAATTATTTTTGGTTTTTATTTTATATAAAAAATGTCATATACTTGTCTTTGAAATTGAAGAATTGGTTGGGAGGTGTTTTTACTTTTAAGCCATCAGATTAAATTTCACTAATATGCCATCGCTGGTATAGTTGCTTATATATTTTGATTAGATAAATATGAAGTATTTCATATTTGAAAATTGTTGTCTTATTGAATTATTTGTCGATTGCTTCAACTTATTCATAAAATTAAAATTTCTGAGTCATCAGTCTTTTTCTGAGTATGGATTGTGTAAACAGGATTTCCACTGGCCACATTAAAGTGGTCACTTTTACTTTTGTTGTACATTCAAATATTTTATATATTCTCAGAGCTTTCATTATCATTTTATTTCTGATATGAGAAATATCAGAAATATTTTATTGGTAAGATATATTCTCTTTCCTGTATTCTATGTTCTAGAACAGCATCACACCAAAATAGGATATCATCTAACTAGGGTAACTAAGATGCAGTGCCATGTGAAATAGTAGATTAGAATATGCAAATGATTGAACAATCAAATAACTGTTTTATTGTAATCTAAAAAATGTTTCCTGGACACGGTCCATGTTATTTTTTTTCTTCTTTTTAAGACATATGCTTACCATTTCAAATCAAATCACAGCAAAATAAAGTCAGTATAATGATTCAGTAAGTAATGTAGCTAATGCGAGACTTGGCATCACCAAATATCTTGATTTTCTGGTTGTTTATATTATCAGTTCAGAACATTTAATCTTTGTTGGAAAATTCAGATAGTCCATGATGAATTATTGTGGCTTAAACAATATTGCTGATTTTGTAACAGGAGGGAGAGTGGTTTTCTTTCTGTCTGCTTTGCCTTTATTCCTCATTGTACTGAAATATTTGTTTAGGTTTATATCACTTCATTCAAATACCATTTCTCATCTAGAAACAAACATATCATTTGCTGTTTACCTTAGGAAAACAATGGGATGTTGCAGGAGGAAGTTATGATCAAAGTTTAGATTCCTAGAGATGTTTCATAAATCAGTAGAAATTACTAAGCTATCATTGATACTGCTTACTTTTGGTTAGAGATTATTTTAAGCCTTCTCAAGTTCTAATTAAAGCATTTGTCCTCATTCTTTCCAGACACAAAGAAGGAGATAATTAATAGATTACTTTAATAATGATATTAGTGATATACAATGTCTGTGCTGGTCAATGATTTCATGTTCCAAATATGGCATCTTAGAGCTTTTTGATCATACAGCACTCGTGAAATTTAGAGTTTTCTCCTAGGGCACATCACTTGACCTTTTCGGTCTTGTTTACTCTCATTACTTAACCCATTTCAATCTCCTAATCTATAAAATGAAGTTAATAATTATTTTTCAGACTCATTTTGAGGGACATACCTAGCACAATTCCTGACACATAATAGTTAAAAAGTAGAAGTTTCTTCTTTTTACCCTCCCTGCAGATGCATCTTAGAAACACACATAACTGGGTGCAGACTGGTGTCTTTTTTTAAAATAAACAAAATATGGACTAACTTGTAAACACTGAACAAAAATGATTGTCTCTATTTCTAATTATTGATAAATGTAGCACAGAAGAGACTGGTTGCAAAACAAATCAATAGCATTTTAAATACATTAAAAATAAGTAATTTTGCCATGCCAGAGCAGAGAAAGGCCTTAAAGACCAGCACATCATAACCCTGTTTTGTTCATTCTATTCTTTGTGGTGAGAATGCCTTTTTCCTCTTTTCTTCCCTATCTTTTATTTCAACTTCACTGTATGAATTAATTCCAGCCGCTCTTTTGAAGACTTTCTGGGAAGCTCTCTTTCCCAAGAAGCCCTCCTTGGCCCCCCACACCTACCTCCCACAGGCACTCCTCTTCTATGTTTGAGTCACCTGACCCTATCTCCGTCACTGTTCTTATCCCATAATAAGCACTGATAAATGTGAGTTCTTTGAGCAAATCTGCATATGTTGTCTTTGATTCTCCTATGTCTTTGACACAATGAATTTTACAATAATAAGATGAAACGTTCCCATTTTGAATACTAAATTTAATGTATCATTTACATACCTTTTTTTGCTTTTGATTCTAAATAACATCCCTTTTTAAAGCACATGTTTAAAACTTTGATTTAAATAAAATCTTATTTGAATATTACATTATCATAAGTTGTGGAAAAAATGAACTAATGTGAAATCAAATACATAAAGGCCTAAGAATAATTTATGTATATGATGTTGTTTCATAATATAAATTCATGAACATATAATCGATATAATAAGATGTCCCTTTGTTGTTATTGATAGTAGATACGTGATTTAAGGCAGTTACTATTTATTTTTATATGTCTTGTTCAATTAAATAGGCAGTAATAAAAATTTTAGACATGATTAAAATTTTTACCGAAAGTTGATATATTTCTCTGCTTGAAAACATCAGCTAAAAGTTTTCCTTTTCCCTGTAATTTTATACTACAACCAAGATTAAGTATTTAATCAAGAATGCTATAAAGAAAAGTAATTATATTTCTCTGTGATTATTGAGTAGAACTATTTTGAAGGACTACATTTGCAATCTTTTTAATTTTTGTTCTCAATTTGAACATTTGATCTCTTTTAAAATAAACTTCAGAGAAATATGGATTTAGAAGAAATGATTAGCCCAACATACTCATATTTTCTGTCTTTAAATATCCTTTCTCTGCTTTCTCACTTTCTCTGATCTCTGTCTCTGTCTCTCTCCCCCACTTCTTACCCTACTTCCTCCATCCCACTCTCTTTAACTTCCTTACTAGGCTTCTACCTAAAGAACAACAACTACAATTCCCTTGCGCCAATAGGCTACTTTATATAAAATTTATGAAGCTAAAAATAGTATCTTCGATGGGCTTAAGTATATGTTCTTGGAACTAAGAGAAAGTACCACTATGATGTGATGGGAGGAGTGTGAGTATGTGTGTATGAGTGTGTGTGTGTGTGTGTGTGTGTGTGTTTTAAAAGGCTCCAGAGTTAGGCAAAATTTCAAGCTTGACAGTATGCATATAATTATGTTGTATTGTAAAATACATGCTGAACAGACTTTCTTATATCTGTAGGGCAAGGAAAAAATTATGTTATCTAAAAATAAAACTCACATATATTGTCTACTTTTGTTCCTACCTGCAATGAATTACTTGCTAACAGAAGTTAATATTTAATTGTCTAGGTACGAAAAGAGTATGGGAAATGCCTGCGAACACATTGCTGTAGTGGCAAAAGTACAGAGAGTTCCATTGGTTCAGGGAAAACATCTGGTTCTCGAACTCCTGGACGCTACTCCACAGGCTCACAGGTAAACAATATTTGTTCACTGAAATAAAGTAATTCTTAACTATATTCTGTAACCAGTTCCTGTCCCTTATGATTGGAGCTAATTTCTATCCTGTGCTTAACGCATCGTTTGTTTTTGTTGTTTCACTGTGTCTCACATGGGAATGATTCTGACAAAAATGGAAGAAACTAAAACTTAAAATGATGAAATTGGGGTCTCAGTTTGCATAATAATTAATGACTTCAGATTGCTTTCAGTTCAATAAATGCAGCAGGTAAAGAAAAGAATTTTCCAGTTCACCCAAAATTCAAAGAATGTAATATTTCATGTATATAGAAATGTGATATATTGATATGATTCTAATTCTTATAATTCTTCTAACTAGTATAATAATTATCACAAACTGAGACAATTTACATATGATATGGTATGTTTAGGAAAAATAACTATGACTCAACCCTATTATGTGCTGAGAAGTTGAAGAAAAGTCAGGGCAGTGAAGACTACTACAACAGCACTATTAACATAGCTGGTCTAAGCCCCACTCCCATTCGCCCAACACTAGACATAGCAGCATAGTACCTTACCAAAAAAAGTTTAAGCTTTTAGGTAAACTGTGTGCCATTTTTCCCAGGGCACAGAGTCAGCTCAAAGATTATTACATAGAAATTTTAACAACTCCTGTATGTTAAGATGAGCCTGTCAATAAAAGACTTAGAATTGTGTAGGTCATGAGTGAGTTTGATTCAAGCTAGCAAACTAGTATTATTTGTTTGTTCGTTTTTTGAGACAGAGTCTCACTCTGTTGCCTAGGCTGGAGTGCAGTGGTACAATCTCAGCTCACTGAAACCTCTGCCTCCTGGGTTCAAGCAATCTTCCCATCTTAGCCTCCAGCCTTCTGAGCAGCTGGGACCACAGGCATGTGCCACCATGTCCAGATAATTTTTGAGGTTTTTGTAGAGATAGTGTTTCACCATGTTGGCCAGACTGGTCTCAAACTCCTGGCCTCAGGTGATCCACCTGCCTTGGCCTCACAAAGTGCTGGGATTATAGATGTAAGTCACCTAGACTAGTATTTTTAGGATTGCATGATTCAGTAGAAACAAAAGTCATGTTTTCAGTGTTGCCACTTAAATTTTTCTGAGGAAGACTTGAGTTTAAATTGATAAATAAAGTTATAAATCAATCTTTTAGCTCAACCTATAAATTTAATTATTGTTTCATAAATTTGGTTATTTTATATAAATTAAGAGTGATTACTTCATTTTTTCTTTGATGAATGTTCAATTGGCTTGTAAGCTTAATAGATTAAATTTCCCTAAATAATTTCATTTATATGCTTAGAAAATTTAATTTCCTTATACCTTTTAAACATCATTTATAAATTTAATATACCTGATTGTCTCAAACACATCAACTGTCAGACTAGACAGTCATACACACCTAACTAGCACTTGAACCAGTTATAAATCAATGAATGACCAGTGTTTTCATAGTTTCCTCACCAATTGAGTTTTGAATTTTACAAATAAAATCATATCTTTAATATCAATCTGATATTTCCAATTAAAATTTTAAAAGTTAACATATAACTGTCAAAAATATCAGACTATCTTAAATAGTTTTACCAACCACAAATCATGAAACTTAAATATAATTGCATGATTATTAATAATCTGAATTTGATTTAATTTTTACACACTACACTGAGGTTGTAAAGTTGCAAATCAGAGGAACAATTGTCCCAACTCAGATGGATGGAAATTTCTGAGTTTAGGACTACTAAATTTGCCAATCAGAGATCTGAATTCTCACATAAGAGTAGGGGCAGACCAGGATAATGCTTATAGCATGAGCTCCTTTAATAATTAATGCCTTTATTTTCAGACTTATAATCCCTTGCTCTTCCCCTGCTTTTTGTAATACCTTTTTCCATGACTTTTCAATTGATATTGCTGAAATTCTGTATATCATCCAGCCTGATTAGATCCCACATGCTTTTCACATTACTGAGCTCATCAGCTACCATCCTATAGTCATTTTATTGAAATATATCATTAATATTATAATAATACTTGGGGGTCTCATTTGCTACAACAGAGTTGTGCAATGTTTAGCAATACTTCTAAACTATGAGTTAAGACAGTACAGCTCAATGGAATAATAATAAACTCTGTGGGTGGGTATACCTTGTTTTGAATTCTGGCCTTGCTACATACCAGCTATGACATAAAACAAGTTACTAATTTCATTGACACTCAGTTTTTTCATCTGTAAAATGGTGATAATAAATACCGACGTCTTAAGTTGCTAAGAAGATTGAACTAATATACACAAAACAGAATAAATTGTGGGTGCTCAATAAATGGTGGTTGCTACCAGTTATTACTGTTGTTATTATAGAATATTATTGTATATATATTTTAAGTTGTATCATATTTTTCCCCTCACTCTTGCAATTTGTAATATCACAATTCTACTCTTGGAAAATAATTTACATTTTTTCTTATACTTAATATAATACTAATTCTGATTAACTATGACCATCCAAGCCTATGTAAGGTTACTTAAATCTTTTTTTTTTTTTTTTTTTTTTTGAGACGGAGTCTCGCTCTGTCGCCCAGGCTGGAGTGCAGTGGCACGATCTCGGCTCGCTGCAAGCTCCGCTTCTCAGGTTCACGCCATTCTCCTGCCTCAGCCTCCTGAGTAGCTGGGACTACAGGCACCCGCCACCGTGCCCGGCTAATTTTTTGTATTTTTAATAGAGACGGGGTTTCACTGTGGTCTCGATCTCCTGACCTTGTGATCCGCCCGCCTCGGCCTCCCAAAGTGCTGGGATTACAGGCGTGAGCCACGCATAGTTACTTAAATCTATATTATTTGTTTAGGTAAGATGAGTAAATACATTTCTCACTAATTATGGCCATCCATAAGCAAATGCTAAAATACTGATATGAAAACAAAATTTGGGGAGTATGGATGCATCTTTCACATAAGAGCACTTCTAAAATAACTATTTTTTTTAGAAATATTGAGTGCCTCCTATATAATGCCATTGATTTTCTAATCTCTGGGGATAAAATGGTTAAAAGACATATAACTTCCCCTGTGATCTGGAACTTTTATTCTAGTATTGGAAGATAGAAAGTGTATTAATTACAAACGACCCAACAAAAATATCAAATGAGAAAGCTAGCAGAGAACAAAAATATTATGTCAATTAGCCAGGTGGCTACTGGAATTAAGTGCTGGAGAAAGACTACCTTTGGAGTGGTACTTATGCCAAAGTCTGAGTTACAAGATTCTAAATGAAGGAGAAAAGGACATTCAGGGGAACAGAATTCTAAGTGAGAAAATGTCTAATGCAAAGCCTTTACGGTGTGGAGAACTTACAAAAACTGTTGGCCAAAGTAGGTTAGAGGGAGAATGAGACAGAAAGTCAAAGAAAAAGGAAAGAGACCGATCCCTAGGTATTTGTAACAGTATGAAAATTAAATTTTATTTTGATTACTTTGGATAGCCAGTGAGATAATTTAGAAATGAAAATGATAGGATACAATCCGCATGTAATAAACATTATGTTGCTACATTGTGGATAATGGAGGGGATGATGGCCAAGAGTAACAAGTAAAAATCCTCTTCACCTCTTGCTCCTCCAAACTTACTTCCTGATCCTAATCACTTATAAAAGTTTTATAATATACATCAGTCACACAAACATATTCACAGAAATGGGTGTAAAATTTTTTTAAACTATGGACTGAAATAATATCTTTTGACTTTCTTGTAATTGTTTTGTCATTTATCTTTCATGTATTTTATTGACTTTTAGATATATTTGCTTTTTATTATATAATATTTGAAAAATAAAAAAGTGACATATGTATATGAAACATTGAAACATTTTAATAAGATGAACACCTGTGAACTCAACATCCAACCGAAGAAATAGAACATTTCAATATGTTTTCCTTTTTATTTAACCTCTCCCTAATCAACCCCTATGTCTTCCTCCAGAGAGGCCCCTAAATTTTATTTTTCCATTCCTCCAACTTATTCTAATAGTTTCCCTCCAAAAAATGTTGTTCAGCATTCCTTTTTGAAATCTTTGTTTAAAAATGGTATTTGATTGTATGTAGTCTTCTCTGACTTGTGTTTTTCACTCCCATATTCTAAAACCCTTCCTGATTCATTCCATAAATATCTAAGTGTGGCCTCTGTGCCGTATACTATATACCTTTTTCTCTGCCTGCAATACTTCTCCTTTTTCTCCTTTTCCTTTTTTCCTCTTTTCTCTTTTCCTCTTAAACTATGTTTGGTGTAGTGCAGTGAGTTGTTAACCTCTTGCACTCAGGAGCCAGATGACTGCATTCCAATGCTGATTATTAGGTCTGTGCCATTAGAATGTTCATTAACCGCTGTGCTTCGGTTTTCTAATGTATAGTATTACCTACTTCATGAAGTTCTTATGAGGTTTTGATGGGTGAATACGTGAAAGGTGTATATTATGGAAAAGAGAGCATAGAAAAATTGATACAGATGTATATACACACACATGCACATATATAATATACATACACTATGTATGTATGTGCCAAGTACATGTACCTCAATTAACAAAAAAGAAAAAAATTCTGTTTTCATAGAGCCTCAAGCCTATTGCAGACATCAGACGTTAAATGGTTAGCTATTAAGTATAAATGTAAGAAATAATTATATAATACATGGTATTGTAGGAGATGTTAGTGACTGTTGGGGGAATGTAGTAGGGGAAAAGGGACTGAGATGTGATTGAATTGTGTGTGTAGCCTCCAATTCTAAGTAGGGTGGTCAAGTTATGTCTTCAGAAAAAAATATTTTAGAGTTAAAAGGGTAAAGGAATTATGCATACCTGTGTCTGGGGGAAGAGCACCCAAACAGAGAAAACAACCAACATTGCCAAGCTCTGAGGCACAAACATGCCTGGCATGTTAGAGAACAGCAAGGGGACAGGTGCAGCTAGAGCAGATGGGGGAGATAAATAGGAGATGAGATAATGGGGACAGCTCGTATAAATATCACCTAACAATAATAACTTCGTCAACTCCAGATAAAATGTTACTTTTTCAGTCTGCATTGTTCTCAGACTCCCTAGAGAAGGACATATCCTTTAATATATGGTAAAAATATATGGTATAATTAGTAGAAGTCTTTACAAATTCTGTGATGTAAAGAATAGTCACAAAAGTATACAAAACATAAATGTATGGCACAATTAATTATTACCACTTCCCAGGCCAACTATTAATATACTGAGAATACCTTGGAAACCCTTTGAACCCGTCTCAATCATTAACCTCCAAACATAACCACTATCTTAGCTTTTAATAGCACATTTTAGTTTGCATATTTTGATGCTTATTCACCTGAAATCATTTAGTACATACTCTTTTATGTTTTCCTTTGTTCCCAAGACATCTGCATTACTGCAGGAGGCTATGAGCTCTTTAATTTTCTTTGCTTTATATTTTTGTATAGTTTATTCATCCATTCTACCATTGACAGTCATTTTGATTGTTCATATTTCAGCTATAATATTTAATGACTGTATGGAGTTTGTGGGCATATTGTACGTTTGCATTTATTTTTGTGATAATTTAACTAATCTGTTACTAGTTTAGCAGCTCCATCAGGGCCAAGACATTTTGTGCTTACATTTCACTTTTGTATCTTATAGGTTAGTATTTGGCAGGCAGTAGAGGGTAATTGATATTTTTAATTAATTAATTAACCAACTAATGAAACAAATGTGAGAGACTGGCTCCCATCATTGTCCTTTTGTTTATTAGTTTTCTGTGTGTGTCTGTGTCTGTGTGTGTGTGCGTGCAGGCATTTGTCAACCTAGGGAAAATGTGATACACAACAATATATCTGAAGAATAATCATGTTCCAAGATTCATAAAACCAATTGTCTAATATTCTAACATTGGTTACTCCCATTATTCACGAAGTTCAAATATATTTGGAACATAACCCATTGTAGGCATGGTTTCATAAGTAGTAGTAATATTTCTTATAACTATTTCAACCTTGAAAAAACTTCTGAAAATATTTTGTTTCTTCCTCACAAGATTGTTAATACTTTTTTGATCTATAACTGAATAAAATAACAGAATAAAACCAAAAAAAATCCCCCCAATGGAAAAAGTTTATAATATTTATTTTCTTGAATTATCTGACACTTAGAAATTTGAATTTAAGAATGTCAATAATAATGTAAGAATTTTTAGTTATCTATAAAACTTCCTACTGAAGCAATGAATCAACTAACTTTATTTTCTTCAAAGAAAGAGAAGTCAGGATAGTTATGTAATCCCTAAAATTACATTGATCTTCCTATAAAAGTTATGAGTTAAGTTTGGTAGCATTTTAATAATGTTCTCTTTTCTTTTCTTAGCAAACTCGTTTGCAAGATTCTGATTTCTTAAACTAAATCTTTTGTTAGAACTGACAATTTAATGCATATTTAAACATTCCCATTCCAATAAAATTTACAGTAAAAATTGTTTCACCTTGGAAATTAAAATTTTCTAATTCTGTCTGAAGATATATACGTCTGTATATCTTCAGCATATTTAAGTTGGTATAGTACTTTACATTTATTTCTTTTTTCATAGTTATAATTATCTTTGGTATATAGGCATTTAGGAATACAGTTAATGAGAACCATGTATTATCATGAATGTTATTTCTGATGTTCTCATGCTACTGTACTGCAAACATGTATTTGTTTATTTGCCAAATACTAGAAACAAACATCTCATGTAACTATGACAGAAAATGAAATAATAATTTGTGTGAAAATTCACTGTCTCATGAGTTCATTTTCTTTCTACCTTTTCCCCAACCCAGAGCCGAATCCGTAGAATGTGGAATGACACGGTTCGAAAGCAGTCAGAGTCTTCCTTTATTACTGGAGACATAAACAGTTCAGCGTCACTCAACAGAGGTAATTAGAAATAATTTTTCATATTTATTACTTTTCTGATTAAGAAGTTCTTAAATGCATTGCTTTATTTGCAACTTCTGAACCTGTTCCACGTGATAGAAATATTGTAAGAACATAAAACTTAGTTGAATGTAGCAATGTGTTCCTTATTCATAAGACACTTTAAAAAAAAATTCTGAATTTTCCAGAAGTCTTTTCCAAAAGGAAATTAGAAAATAAGAAACTTTTTTTCCTAATCATCTGCTGCTGCTATAAACGAGAGCTGTCAGGCCTCATTGGAAGCAGTGAAAATGGGCAATTATGTGGCTATATAGTCGGCTAAGCATCATAGAGTTCCACATTGTCTTAGGTATAAAGCAATTTCATAGTCTTTGCGGAAGTAAAAGTATACTGTCTAATACATACTTAAGGCAACCTGTGTACTTGGAAAAAATCACATCTTAATGTCTAAAAGACTTATCTGGATAATATTGCATATTTAAAGATTTAGGAGAAAAGATACTTTGGGGTATATTATGATTTTTGTGTATATGCTTGTGGTTCAGTGCTCCCTGGGTGGCATTTAGATTTTTGAAATGAAGAAATGAAGTTCCCTTAATCTATTGTTTTGTTTGTGGTCGAGTTTTTTTCCTTGATCTTATATTCTCTCTCTCTCTCTTTCTCTCTCTCTCTCTCTTTCTGTGTGTGTATGTGTGGGGATATGATTAGAATTCATTTTGCTGCGGTAAAAATGACCAGATGCAATTTTTTGGAGACCAAGAGGCTACTACAGTCAGCAATGGGAAATATTTAGAATATAGTTTTATCCGGGAAGGAGGCATTTGTATGAATTTAAGTTATTTTTATGATCAATATTATTATTTTTATCCCCAAACTAGAATTATTATTTTGTTTTTAACTCATTTCTGTTAGTTTTTTTGTTATATTTTATGCTACTTAGGAAGAGATAATGTAATAATTATAACATATGATTCAGAAACATTCAGATACTAGTACTCTCAATTATTTGTACTCAAGTAAGTTACATTTTATTTATATAAAAAAGTTAGGACAGGCAGTGTCAAGATTGAATTTGATTCAGGGATCCATGTTTTAATATAATCTTAATTGAGTTTCATGTGTTGTTTGGGGTAACAATATAGAAACTATAAACTAGTGATGATTTAAAATTATCTACATCACTTTTTCTTGATTAGTAAGAATAGTGAGTGAGAATATTCCTCCAAATATGAAGAAAATATATTAAAATAAAACAACTACCTCCTAGTATTTTGTTTCATTATTAGTTTGTTTTTATTGGCTAGAATATATTCATGTAGACAATATCTCTCAAGTATCGTATCTTTTTCAATTGAGTTTTAATGTTTAGTTTGTGAAAATTTCTTTTAATATGAGTATTCTGACTTTTTGACATTACTTTTAAATCGTAGAGAACACATTACTTACAAACACCTCCATAACCTAGGATTAATTTGCTTACAGATGACTAATTTTTCTGTATTCTTTAAACAATTCCATATATAAGAAAATTTACTGCATGTTCCAAGAAAGAGAACTGTCCTTACCCATAGGATTTATTGATAGAACTATCTTGCATTTAAAGATCCTGGCAGCCATAGAATAATTATTGATTAAACAAAGAATGAGGTAATATGATTTTAATGATGAATTGTTTTTATATTGTTAGGATAAATAAAATATGTAAAATTATTATTTTGTCTAATACTGTTATTTAAATTCATGTAAACATAATAAGGTATGTAAGTTCAGTAAAAACTGCTATGAATGGATACTACTTATGGGCTTAAAGTTAATCACTATATAACACTACATTTAGTTTCTTCCTTTTTAATTGCTTCTCAAGAATTTAATCAACTTGGAATATAGTGATGTGTGGATAACTGGATCAATTTGAAATATGTTTAAAGGAAATAGTATTATTTTGTATTGTCTGGTCATATGTTTAAGTCTGTTTATCAGAATCTCTAGTTTTGAAAAATATTTCATACAGTTATTAAAGGAAGGGTATACAATTTCTTGTGACATTGAATAAGTTACTTTAATGATGCCTTTTTGTAGAGAATTCAATTGAATTTATCATTTAAAAGCTGCCCAGATAGTGATCATTTCATCAGGATATATATTCTTCCTTTCACTTAGTGACTTTATTGGTGCTAGAAATCATAGTGATCTTCTTCATTTCCTATATTAATTTCTTAGTGCCCCTCAAGTCAGAAACTCCTAGTTTTATTCTCATCTTGTTTTTTTATCTTAGATGAGTGGACTACTTGAAATTTTGTTTCTTCATATTGTATCTCTGAAGATAGTCTTTAACCTCCTTCTTTAATCTTGTCTTATTTCCCAGGGTCCTATCTTCCCTGCATTCAGGCGTGTGTATCATATTTAGGTAGGTGACATCCAAGATTCATCTTTTCAGATAAATAGTCACCTCAGCAACATAATTATTCACTTCTGTTTATTCAATCGATTATATTCTCTATTACTAAAATAAAAATCTTAGATACTACATCTTTACATCTTCATATATTGTAACTTCCCATTCATTTAGTTTTTTATAGATAGTGCTTTTATTTTAAATTTAGACTCCATTTTCCTTTCTTTCTAAGTTAGATATATTAAATCTCTTATTTTTGTCTTTAAGATAGTTCTGACCCTTGAAAATGACAACCTGTTGTCCAAAAATTAGTCCTATTTTTAATTTAGGTTTTCTTTCCTGTTCATTCCACTGGTCAATTCATCAAAAGAGTATTATTTTAAATTTTTGTATGTTTTATCATCTATTCTTACAAACAAGAATCAATCATTATTGTCTTTAGGATCCATTAGGAATAAAGAATACATCATGCAGTGTAGAACTACTTCTCAATGGTATTTATTTTTTTAAACCATCTCAAATATTCTGTTCTTGAATTAGCTTGTCGTATCATAAGTATGAGATTACCTCTCTAGATTTCCCAATGTGATAAATTTGATTACTATTGGGATTTTACTCCTTGGAAGCATGTGAAACCTTGGAAGATTTATTGAAATAATAATTTTCAACGAGCATATTAATTCCTTTTTATTTTCTTTGGAAGTTTGTTGTTTTATAACTTTATCTTTTTAAAATCTTTCATTAAAATTGTACTTTGAATATCTATAAATAAGAAAATGTTTCACAAAATGTTTTCTATACATTTTCAAATATTTTTCTCCAGCCAACTTGTTTGGCACAATGTTACACACTTAGACAAATTCAGAATTCCTTGAGGCCAATACCCCAGCACTACTATCAAGTTAACTTTAGCAATCCAGCTGAATACACAAGTAGAAGGAGCTTTAGAACAGCCGTAAGGTGATGGTTGATTATAGAGAGTTTCAACAAAGATTAACTCTACGCCAAACCCAAGTTTTCACAAACTTGTAGGACTTCGGTATGGTTTATTCATTGGTTCATTTAAATATTTACTGTTCTGCTTATACCTTGAAGGTTTAGTCAGCACTCAATCCCCAGTCTCCTCCCAGGGCTGCTGGAAATCGAATTCAAATCTCTAGTAGTTCCAACTTTCTGGTAGCGGTGAAAATGACTTGTAGCTAGTCTTTTCCACCCATAGTTCCTACCAATAATCTCTGCAGGCCAAATCTTATCTTGAGCTATGTATTTATTTACTTTTATTTAATTTATTTTATTTTATTCATTTTTTTCATTTATTTTTGAGACAGAGTCTTGCTCCGTCACCCAGGCTGGAGTGCAGCGGCATGATCTCAGCTCACTGCAACCTCCACCTCCCCACTTCAAGCAATTCTCCTGCCTCAGCCTCCTGAGTAGCTAGGATTACAGACGTGTACCACCACACCCGGCTAATTTTTGTATTTTTAGTAAAGACAGGGTTTCACCATGTTGGCCAGACTGGTCTTGAACTCCTGACCTCATGATCAACCCACCTTGGCCTCCCAAAGTGCTGGGATTACAGGCATGAGCCACTGCGCCCGGCTATTTTTATTTTTTTGAGTCAGGGTGTCCCTCTGTCACCTAGTTTGGAGTGCCGTGGCATGATCATAGCTCAGTGAAGCCTCGAACTCCTGGGCTCAGTGATCCTCCTGCTTCAGCCTCTTGAGTAGGTAGAACTACAGGCTCCCACACCATTTTTTTTTTCCACTTTTTTTAGAGATAAGGTTTTGCTATGATGCCCAGGCTGGTCTTGAAGTCCTGGCCTCAAGCAGTCCTTCTGCCTCAGTCTCCCAAAGTGCTGGGATTACAGACAAGAGCCACTGTGCCTAACCTAGAACTATTTAGATTAACAATGTCTCTAAAACTTTAGTTTTATCTAAAATTTTAGTTTGAACCAAAAATGAAATGTTTACTGAGAAATTTCCTCTGACAGTGGTATGAATTGTTAAATATTTCTACTTTTTTTGTCACTCTGTATAAAAATTAGGATATTTTCTGAAATTAGGCTTTATCTTATCATAAATATTATATTTGTTAGGCTTTATGTCATTATAAATATTTTATTGGCTTTATCTCATCATAAATATTATATTTTTCATTTTCTTTTTATTTAATTAGTTAGATTGAGGTCAGAGACTTCCCTTTGAAAATCAAGGTTTGCTAGGTAGCTCTTACCAATATGGATCTTTGAATCACAAAAGAGTGCCCCATTCCCATCCCAGCCCTGAAGTTATTGCAAAAATATGCAATTTGAGCAGTAGAATTAGAAAAACGGGCATTTTTTTTTTCTTCTGGAACAATTACTTGGCTAGCATCATGGGTTTTTATTTTTCCCTAAACTCCTATCCTCCTTGTCAACCTCCCACACAAGTTAATTTGATTTAGATTTTTATGCATAGAGATCTGACTAGTAAGGGTGTATTTATTTAAGCCAAATTTAGTTGTTATATGTAGGAAGACTGATCTGTAGATGTGTAACACTTATTTATAAATGCTGATGGATTCTCTTTTCAGAGTTCAGATCTTTATTAATCTGCAAAAGCATTCTCAGTAAATATATGTAATTGACAAAACTGTGATTGCCTATGACAATGGATTTATTTTAATAGATTTTTTAAGGGTAAATTTTGGCTTGTAGCTAGTGGCTTTGCTGCCTGCTGAAAGGTGACCCCACCTGTTAGGAGTATGGTTGATACAGAGGGGAAAGATGCTGCTATCAAATAGATATTTGCAAGTAGTTGACCTACTCATTTTAGTTTTGCATAATAGTTCTAAGAATGGACACCTGAGTTTTAATCCAGAGACTTCTGGCAAATTGCTTAACTTCTCAGGGTCTATGCAATAGGTAAATAAATAGTACTCACTTCAGAAGGTCCTTGAGAGGAGTAAATGAATATATTAATATGTAAATTGCTTACAACAGGGCCTGGAACATAATTATTATTATTTTATTCAGAAGTTCATTTATACTTTCTAAAAAATGAAAACTTGTCCTTGCTAGTGCTCTCAAGTAATGAGATATTAAAATCCATCATTCACTACCGAAGTTTTGTTTTCATTTTTATTTTGCAGAAATAGGTGGGAAGAATGAAGTGGTTAACTGAATGTCAAGTAAAATAAATGATTGTGCTACCCTGGAGCCTAACAAAAAATAAAATAATAAAACTGAGTTGTCGCTTCTAAATTAGAAATTAAATGCACATTGCATCTGCTTATTTGTATTTCCCACTTTTGATTTATAAGCATGTTTTAGCATCAAAGAAATAAAGGTAATGTATTTCTTCTCCCTACCTTAGATAATGACATAAGCAAACACTGCCTTCACTTTTCTTCTAAGCCCTGTCCTGTCCCTTCAGAAGCTTAGAGAACACTATTCCAATTCAGACAGCTCTGCTAAATAATTATGTAGTGGAGCAGGGATGTGGCTCAGATCCGTTTTTAACAAAAGTTTTCTCAGAGCCTGTATTGTCTTTCCCAGGAGGTAGGTCACTGAGGCAGAAGAAACCTCAAAATAAATCACCTGCCCCTCCCATTAATATTCAAGCTTCCAAACATATTTTGCTTTTATGTTTTTAAAGAAAAATTGCAAATGAAAAAAATTTAAGTGGTGTTTTACTGTGATTAGTGATTTATATAAATTAAAGCTACTAGGGCAAAACACTCATACTCATTCACTGTTGTTTATTAATGTCAGTAAATATAATTTGGCTTATATGCATAAAATAGGCTGTATTGCCCAAAAGTCTTACTGTTCTGAAGGATTATAAAATCATTGGTTGTAAATATTAACCAGCTCCTAATATAATCTGACATCTACTTATGAAATTTGCAAAAACAGTTAATAATGTGCCTATGGAACTTGCATAGCTAACAAATCAGAGTAACCTATATAACAGACTATTCTTATTTTGAACAAGCATTATCCTGATATGAATGCAAATATAAGTATTCAATGACATAGGTAAATTTTTCTTTTGAGAAATACTGTTATATTTATGTCTAGTATGTCTATAATTTTGTTCTTTATATTCTGTGTAAATGAGGCAACAGCATTCTGTGTGTATATATATATATGCAAAGGATATATATATACACAAAAGATATATATGTACATGTTATCAATAGACACAATCAGAAAAGGAACAATAACATAAAGAAGCCTGTGTTAGGAAAATCAGTTTAATAACACAAAGGCAAAAATAGGCTCAGATTTTTAAAGTGAGATGCTGAGTCAAAGAGATAATTAAACAAGGCTGTTAATATCCAGGTTTTTAACCCAAGGAAGCCAAATAATTTTCAGAGTTAACTCTTCATTCAAGTGGCAAAATGAAATATATGAAATATTGACATCCAGTCAATCCAGGACAAAGGTCCTTGGCTATAAATTGTTGGCAGGATCTGAAAAAGAAAAATCTTCGTATTGCTTACTCAGCAATTCCTTCTTATGCATTACATTCAACTTTGTCTGTGATATGACTCTTCCAAGTAATCCAGTCTATCACAGCCAACTAAGCAATAATAAACAGTTTGTATTTATTATTATTATTAACCTAAAGCTCTCATAGATCCTTTTAAAAAGAGAGGTTTGTAAAATTCTATTTAATTTCCTTTTGGTTATTGATTTATTACCTTATTACCTCACGTATTATGAGTAGTATTCCTTACCTCTATTATGAATCAAACAAGCTGCAGTGAGCTACCTTGATAAATTCTAAATATAAGTGCTATAGAATATTTCCACTTAGCTCTAAAATATTACTATTTGTTTCATGTAAGTTATTGAGAACATAATTTTTAAACATTTCTTTTCTTAGAGCTAAGCGTGAAGATTCCAACTTAGGAGTTGCTGGTGTTCCTTTCTCTGATAGAGCACAATATGCCTCTTTATATTTGTTGATAAATGTGATGTTTCTTCTTTAGTATGTGTGTAATCATTTGCATATTGTACTCTGTTA